GTTCATACGCCAGTTTATTTGCTTTGTTTTTAAGGGATTAAATCAGGTTGGACCACTAATTGTTTTTTTTATATCGAAGGGGGACAAACCCTCTGCAAGGGCTGTTTGTATTTAGCCTGGCCCAAAAGGGAATTGTGGGTCAAAGAAGCTGACAAACGTAGCACACATACCAATTCATTTATCTAACTTTAATTATTCGCTTTACATTCAGTTAGTTAAATCGTGTTGGGCTATGATATGTGGGCATATTGTTGCGACAGCGGAAGTCACGCGACGTTGGGAGCATGCGCGTTGGAGGGTCTCGAAGCATCATGAATTTTCCCAGCTATCTAGTTGGTTCGAGACGCCCTTTTTTTTAGTATATAAGCCTGGCGAAAGAAACCAGCGGAGATAAGAGATAGATATACAGATAGATTGTAGATAGAGATAATTGAGTCAAGAGAACAGTAGGCACAGTAAGTAAAGTGTGGGAATCACCGTGAGTTATAGCGTGTGTTATAAAGTTGTTAAGTTTAACGTACTTATTGGAAATTCTGTGTATTACAAAGTTGATCAAGAAAGGATAAACTGATTTTAATTAAGAAAGGACTTGTATCGCTGAAGTTCATCGGAAAGAATTTATACCGGAAATTAAGGAAATTATCAAACGAACAGATAGTAACAAATTGGTGTGGGACAAAAAAAAAGAAGATGGAAACGAGAAGTGGCAAATCAAACTACAGCTTAGCAGAGCTGATGGCAGCAATACAAGAACAGGAAAAGAAACACGAAGAGAGGCTACAGCAGTGGTTGGAGGAGAACGAAAATAAACAAGAAGAGAGACTACAGCAGTGGCAACTGGAACAAGAAAGGAAACACGAAGAAAGTCTCCAACAATTGCGCGAAAGTCAACAACAGTGGCAAGAAGTACAAATAGAAAACATTAGTAAATTTCAAAGTGAATTAGATACATTAAAGAATGATTTACTGTATTTTACACTAGGAGGATATATATTAACCATGGAACTAATCAGCCCAAGAC